CATAATTATGTATGACATGCTTGTCGGGTATTGCTACATATATATGTGAAAACAAAGCAAAACTGATGAAAGTTAACAATAAACGTCGTGTATACGTGTTATATCGTCACTGCAAAAATAATGATTGTTTGTCTTTAGTATTTACATTCAAATACGTTATATCTGTATTAGCGATATTGTCTTTGTTCCACCGGTGAGTCATCGTTAGTATAATTGTATTTCTGAAGACATCACGATACAGTTTTTACGATGCATCACGTCTGCACTAGCGCTTGATAACAGCCTTGTGTTTGGGTGTTTCAGTGGTTTAAATCGCTGCTCTTGATATTGTTGATTAAACTTTGATACTATGAACAATATAATGTTATGTGAGAGGTTGACTTTAGAACGGTAACATACTAATAGTGTATAGGATGACATAAACAGAACAATGAGAAGTTCGTCCAGATTAGTGTATAGGCAACATTTAATAATTAAAATAATTACATTCAACAACTCCCCTTTTAAGTCAATTTTCCTGACTTATAAGTAAATACAAGAACAATCGGCCGGAATACAATGTATAGTTCTTGTCCACTTCCATATGACTATATAGCATACAATAAGCTATCGGGTCCCGTTTAGATCGGTTTGGGTGGCAGCCTAGATAGCCATAGAATAGTTTCATCTTGGAATCTCCCATATCACTGGGGATCCTCTTCAATTTAAATGGAGTTACTCGTTACGATTCCGAACCTTCACGTGACTGTGTTTATGAACCATTGTCAAATAGTGGTGACATTAAATCTAGGAAACAATACGCGAAATCGCGCATGCACAGAACGGAAAATTTGGTCAAGGCATTAAGTAATCCGCATGCGCAGAACGATTGATTTCAGTACTTCCGCTAAGCGCTTCGAGTGCAGCGTCAAACGCGGGCCTGTAATCTAACACGCGGGGACTGACCAATGAAATCTGAGAAGTAGAAATACCGGTAGACGCTGTTGCTTGATTGACAATGTCAATCAAGAAAGGGAGGAGCTTAACGCTATCGTTCTCTCCCAGTAAATTCCGATGTCAAATAACGACGTTATTTGGACGGAAAAACGATGGTTTGAAAACGTCCAAATAACGTCGTTTTTCCGTCCAATGACCATATACGGAAAAAAACGACGTTTTCGTGTTTGCAGTGTTTGCATCCAAGAATACAGTGGCCATAACTTTCTTCACCTGATCATGAAGGCTTGAAGTTCTTTGGTGCCGAAAAAGTGGAATGGTGCCAGTCTTAAACATAGCTGCCGAACATTCAACAGTGGAATAGCTAGGACACTTATCCTTATACGCTTGTGACATGCGGTCACGAATGTTCCGGGGAGTATTGGTTTCTAAAGTCAAAAACTTAATGACTGTTAGGTACTCGTTCGTTTCCTTGTTTGTGTCCATTTGGACCCCTATCACGTTTAACTGGCTGTCACTAATATACAAACAGACCAAATACACTTGCAATGAACTATTCAAACAATGTCATACATTGATTACTTCACTTTGTTGTGGCCCATAGTTGAAAGTTAGTCAAGTATATAACATTTTTTAACCATTTCTCGTATTTCTAAATAGTGTGCCTCTTATCTATTTAACATCTTAACAAAGGCGTCAGATGAAAGACTGGTAGTTTTCAATGTCCTATCAGCATTCCGTTTCTTGAGATGCACAGAAAACCCTGTGTGCGCCTGGAATAGCTGATGGTAGAGTGTTCACTGCACAACCCCAAGTATGCTGGGGTAGAGTGAGCATAGGCAAGGTATCCTTGGAATACACACCAACGATACGTTTACGTAAAACTGTCAATAGCGCTCTTCTTTGGTCAATTTCTATCACAGCCGGAGTCTGTGCAAATAGGATGACATTTGTTGTTGTCAAAAGCACTGTTGAATAAAATGTACAGCCGCACGTTTCCATGTTTAGATACTCTCCCCCCAGAGTAATAATTCCAGATTAAACACAATGAGATTATTTCCGAGTTGAAACGAAGTTCCAGGTACATGTTTACATCCACGAGATGGAGCCAAGGTTGAACTCACAATATCACCAAGCCTTGTCGCTGCCCGGTAGGTGAGACACATCACTGTATTCTACATTGTTGGTAACTGAAATTAACTGTCCGGGCCCGAAACTGAAGTTCCGGATAAAAGAAGCATAATATGTAGTATTTATTTCATTTCACATAAATTGTCCGGTAGGCGATTGTTCCAGTGAATTGGGTCCGAAAAAGCGGAGTTACACTGTATACAATTTCCCAGTTACCCTAGAACAGATTATCGTCTGCTTCCATCAGTCTTCCCGGGACACAGATTTAACGTTTGAACCTTGAAGGTTGGAAAGGTTTTCCCATAACTTCCATTTACTGCTTCTCCTTTTACCAAACCTACCACTTAACCCACGTGGGCCAGGTATCGAGGAACAGATTGTCTAACGTGATCGGCATCTGACAAGCCGCTACACTAGCCATTCTAACTTCTACCCTTGCATAAGGATAACAGGCGCTCTTGCTTCCGAATAGGTTATTATGTACTAAGATAAGTGTATTGTTCATTTTCAACTTGAATACATCTATGGTGTACTCTTTTACTTTTTCACCAGACATCAGAGAAAAGGGAGCGCTGTATCTGAACATTTTGACATTGATATCATCTCCATTAACAAAGTGACATCCAAAGTTAAACACATCTTCGTACAATGGACCCACACACGTTAAGGTTTTACTACCCTCTATAAATCTACCTCTATTCACAAGTCTAGCGTTTCCACCTGATACAAAGTCGGTGGATCATGTCAGCGTCCGTAACCCTAGTAGACCTCTTGTACGCCTGAGCTGGACAGTCTGCTCATTGCTGTGTTTGTGTTGTCAGAGCAGGTATTCCGCTCATTGTGCAATTGTTGTTTATTGTTTACATGTTGTGCATAAAGCCTTCCGGGACAGTGATGTCGATTTTGTCCTTTATTCCCCCAAGAGCTAATTCCCCGTCAACATGCACGTTGACAACTGGTGTTAGAATCCTGCTGGAGTAACTCTTGAGTTTACTCCCGATCCAGTAACCTCTCTGTATGCCTACCACCCTGTATGCCTACCATCATTAACTCGAGCCATGAAGAAACAAGATTGAAGAAAACAACAGGAATCTCTCCGAATCTCTCAAGATTTCGTTCATACACAGGACCAAGGAAGCATAAACGCCTATCCCGCAGTGATCCTGACCACAGCCATCATGATGCAGATCATACAGAAACCGCCTCACGGGCACCTACAAGATGGACACTGTGTACAAGACATCTCATTGGGACTTACTAATTTGTGTTTACTTACATGGACTCAATCCAGGATATATGATGTGTGACTGTTGATAAGTGCAACCAGGTATGTTTAATCAAAGCCAGTATATTAATGCCAAAATGTGTCTTTCCAAAATTAATTTTTATATGTGCAATATACTCCAATTCCATGTTTAGTCACGCTAGATCTTTGAAGTTATTGTGAAGGGAATCTTTGAAATGTCTCTAGGCCACGCCAGACATACCCGAAAGCAGAGACCATATAATAGATAATCTATTATATGGTCTCTGCCGAAAGTTAGACTCGTAATTTCAAAAATCTAAACGACCAAATTTGTCATTCGTTACAAGTTTTTAATGTGCACAGTTTGGTACAAAATTTAAAGTATGGTCTTGGACTTTGAATTCAGATTAGGGATTTACTTGGGTTATCCACCCACACACATGTATATTGTATGTCAGTATTAAGTAATTAACAGCACAGCGGTATTCAGCATTTCAGAATTTTGATGTCGGAATTAAGGATTATTATTTTCCTTGGGCATAGCACCCATAACATATGGGCAAGCTCCGTTAAAGACACGGGAAGAGCACCCATTGTACTTAAAAGGGCAAACGTACCCACAAGTACCGTTTGAGTCGCACGATAAGTTAGACTCCTGGTTTCAAATTTCTTTATGTGAAATATTTGCTGAGATGTTTAATTTGTACTTTTTATGACATTACTCATTATCATTATTCAGTACTGAGTCGCACCGCCAAACCAGACTCCTGAGTTCAAAGAACCTCAATAATATATTTATTGAATCTGTCCAAAGCGGTAATTAACTCGTAGTGAATTTGCACATTACAAAGATCACTTTCAAACTGGCACTTCATCAAATTGGCTAGATGATCACTTTCATACCGTCATTGCATAGGTATATTTGTTGCACAAAAATTTCAACGATATCATGAATTCATCTAACTGATTTTGTTCACATTTTGCACTATTGTTTCCGTTGGTGAACAAGTTCACACATATCAATTTGGACTTGTCAAAGCTTGGGGTCCAAGCTTCACGGAACGGAGGGAAGTTGTCATAGCGACTGATTTATGACTACCATTGTCTGCAGTACATTTGACTTCAAGGGCAAATTACCCTGTAGCCATGTCTCCATAACTTAATTGTCATTACGTTTTAGGCGCTAATCCCCGTTGTTAATCCTCACCAAGATTTCATTGTATTTTGACTGTCAGTCAGCCTGGACTACCATATCACTTCCCTTTAACTAACACTGCTTTTTATAGTATGGCATTTATTGCCCTAATTGATCATCCCATGAACTGTGTTTGTTAATCACGCCCATATGTCCAAAGCAACGTCGTTGTCTCTTTGTCTGTCCATTGTTGTTCATAACTATATATGTGCTACCATTACACAGTTACTACGGTGTTAGTCAGGCTTGGTATTCCGAGTGCTGGCAATACTCTTTGTAGGGGTAGACCATATTACTCAAACCCGCCAGCTGTCCTTGCAAATACACAGCCACTTGAGACCAGAGAGATTGCATGAACGGTTGACTTAAGCCACAAGTTCGTCTGTAGTCTGTGCATATTTTTGTGACGGGTGCCACCGGTGTGTGTAAAAGATGTGTTCAGTTGGCGGAAAAAAAGGTGTCATTCGCTGAAAGCAAAGCCATCGTACTCACCTACAAGTAGGCTGTGTCAGGACGAAGGGTAGTCCTCATACTAGCAACACATTGCTACACAACGACATTATTGACACTGACCATGTGCCTTATTTTGTCTCCTCACATAGAATATCACTATCCTTTCGTTTCTTCTCGTGATTTTAGTGAACGAAAACAACCATTTGTAAAATCGTCCGTCTGGTATTCAACTTGAGTTGTGTCACGTGACTCAGTCTGGCCAGTCGCTGTGTCCTTTAGAAACCTTTGAGTCGATATGAGACGGTCTATCACTGTTTGACAGTGCGTAAAATTTGTTATAACCCCGGAGAGTCTGCATCTTTTGTTGAAAGAAGGAAGGCAAGGGAGGGTGTAGATTGTTATAATAGAGGATTCTAGTTTCAACTGACAATTGAAGTAAGTTTAATTTCATCCAACTTTGAATTGGCAAGTGAACTCAAATTCGCTTAATATAATTAACCATCACCGTCAAAGATGAACTTGTCACTTAACATGTTTCCGTCGCTGATCACTTAGGTATCCTTGTTATATTCTTATTTGAAATGTCGCTGATCACTTAGGTATCCTTGGCAGGCTTTGACACGGCCCCCAAGATTGTCACAACAGAGACATGGTGAAGCGACCGTTATGTGAGGGTGTCGCGGGAGTAAACTGTACAGACAGATAAGAGAGACCATTTAATAACTGCATGCCACAAAGTACATGTCATGTTGTCGTGTTTTTTGTTAGTGACAGGCGTAGTTTACGTTCACCTTTTCGCGAACCTCTGGTATGAAATCTACTTGATAGTGATTCATAGGCTTTAAACACATTCTTTTGCAAAACATATTGTCGCTCGGCCGCTGCCTTCCTGGTTGAGGTCGGAGATAAGAAACACACACAAAAAGTAAGGATGTCCTGATCGAGGGATGGGGGAGAACCACAATCACCTTTTGTGCCATAAGTAGAAAATATACATGTACACACTGTTTGTCATTGAAAACAACTGTTGTAAGCACCTTATCTGGCAAGAATGGTCGCGGAGATGATAAACCGAGCTATATACACCTCAATATATCAAATTTTGGTTTTAATATATGGAGGGGGTAAAGGGATATATTTAATGAACGTTTCAATTACTATTCACAAAACCGAACACATTCGGTGTTCCAAGGGAAGCAACTCTGATCGACAACTAGACCTCGTAGACTGTACTCCTGTGAACACGGTAAGCTTGCGTCACGTACCAACCCTGGAACATACACGTTTTTTATTTGTTTTATTTGTTGCATTTCATATAGTTTTTACAAAACAGAAAAACAGTGACACCCTTACAAAAAGGTGTATCTCATGACGTATATTTATAGAATCTGTCTAAATTCCCACTCCTAAGTGCTGTGCAGTTCATTCTGGGAGATCTGGAGAGATGGAATATGCTCTTCTTCTTTACATGAGAAAATATGTTTTTTTCCAAAGAGTGATTATAAGATTTAATGGGTCATTACTTCTGAATTGGTATCCAGGCAAAACATGTCGTTTGGTGATGTTTGCTTGATTTGAGGGCTGGTATTTAGCCAAAGTTCCAGTGCTGCCCAGATCGTTTGTATTTTGCTGCAATCCCAAATTAAATGTTCAGTCGTTTCTATGTGTGTGTCACAAAGACTACATGTATTGCTGTCTCCCATTTTACATTATTATTAGAAGGTAGGAAGTGGTGGAGAAATTTTGTATTGAAACCATTGAAGCTCAGTATCTACAGTGCACCTGAAGGGTATGCTGTTATACTTTTGTCCAGTTCTCTGAAGATATTTCTACTTTTAAAATATTTTCCCACATTTACACAATGTTTTTTAACTAAACATTTGTGAAAGTATTGAGTACCTTTTTCACATTTTTGTAGGTGTTGTATATTAAAGGATCTAATGGGATTTAAGAGGGGTCTCAAGTTCTTCCACTTAATGCTTTTGTTTCTGCAGTATTGTTTTATGGAGTTTATAATGCCCATGTATGTCAAGAAATTTGTTTGTAAATTAAATTTCTTAACAAAAGATTCAAAGGATAGAAGTTTACCTTCGTCTTCCAACAAGTCATTTACATAACGTATGCCTTTTCTGTACTACAATTTTCATAGAACACACAATTCTCATTAAACACTGGAACCTGATGACCTTACGCGATTCGTCTGCAAACACTGTGAAGAGTTTACAAAATAAGTAAATAAACTATCGTGCCACTGGATTTTCTTGTCCATCAATCACTTGCTTGTCTGGTTTGTTTACAGGAATAATGCATAGTAAAAAAATACTTACTTTTAAAATGCAAATTGTGTGAATGGCGGGTGCTACCGGTAGAACAGGACATGCCCATCCTTTTCGGGAATCCCTGGTGTCATCACTGATTTTCAGGGGTCAATTCATATAATTTTCACAGCTATTTCGCCCTTTACGCATATTGGAGTCAAGACTGGTGATTCTCTTGCATTGGGCTTTTATATTTATTATGTATCAGTCATGTTTGGTACCAGGAATGATGTCACCGGTCAGTTGGGAGTAGCAGTTCCTTGGGTGAGAACAGGTCTTCAGCAACCCATGCTTGCCGTGAAAGGCGACGTTGATTGTTGTAAGAGGCGACTAACGGGATCGGGTGGTCAGGCTTGCTGACTTGGTTGATGCATGGGGGGAAATATTAAACCTAGTCTAGGTGTATATATTCTGGATATTTCACTGAGTGTAAATTTATCCTTTCATGTTTATGAATGAAACAATATATGTAAATTGTAACATACTATTGTATATACTGTATATCCTAAAGTGATAGAAGCCGTAATTAACATCACGACATCCACAGAGCCACATGGATGGGCCTTAACATTTGGTGTATATTGTAAGACGAAGATGTGCGGATGAGATTAATTCATCTTCTGTGCGAAGAATTAAGACATCAACATGAGTATGAGGTGAGGTGAAATGGGGTTTCCAAGATCATTGCACATTTATAGCGACGTGCATGCACGCTCGCGCGCGCGTGCGTGTGTGTACTAGTCCGACCAGTCTTTTTGGTATACGCGTCTATTTCGGGATTTGTTATATTTCCTCTCTACCAACTTAGTCCAATGTATTTTATTTCTTAGCAGCAGAATGTTCTGATAACTGGTGATAACTCATTTTTATGTATATGTATGTACTGTGATATTTCTCATTTTTACTCATATGTATGTGACGTCCTGCGTGTCTCGTAGGCCATAATGGTCGGACACTGTACACACTATTTGTGTATTTTTATTGTCATTGTTGTACAGTTGTGACACGTAAATAAAATAATTTTCTTCTTCTTCTTCTTCTTCTTCTTCTTCTTCTTCTTCTGTGTTAAGTGTTCTTCTGTGGGCGCTTATGATAAGAGGGGATACTCCGAATGTTTGCTGAATATATTTAACAGACAAAGGGCATAGAATTTCGGTGCATTTGGAAGCATATTGAACCAGTTAGGTATTTAGATATTTGAAATGTTAAATAAGTATTAAAATGCACTTTTTAAAATAACAGTATTGAACTGGTTTGCACTATAACATATGTTACAAGCAAGTATATGGGACAGAATACTGTGTTTTTTAAATAAGATGGCCAGAAACTATAGATCGGCACTAGCCAAGTTTAGATGTGGCTTATAATTTTTTAGATATACCTGATATCGACAAACTTTGTTTAATTTTCAGTGACTCCAGTGTGTGTTTTATACTTGCCAAAGTCTGCTTTTAAAATTCGTAATCGTAGAAAGCATTTTTTATATGGATAACGTTTTACTATATCATCTTCGTATCATTTATGTATAAATGTTATGATAATTTGTCTCTCATAATTCTATTGAATGGTTCTGTACATTCTATCTATGTCAAGTTGTACAAAGCTGTTTTACGTATGTACAGAAGTGAGGCACTAATAAACTACTGTCTGTCTGTTATAACGTTAGATTAGAAAGGAGAAACATGAAAGTGTTTTATGATACACGAGATTTGGGAACACTGGCATGAACAATAAACATGCATGGAAGGGTAAAGAGAAAATGGTGGAGACAAATTGAAGTAGATTTCAATTAATATGCTACTAAACAACTTTCCTGTGCACAAGCGGTTCCCAAGGATAGGTTATAGACAACACAAATTTGTTTGACTGTTTTGAGTTGTAGACTGACAAATATCTTGTTGTACAGTGTTTTTCATGCTATAGTATTGAAACAGTCCTTTTCAAGGGACCGTTTATGCCTAGAATTGTTACGGGGAATTAACTCCGGGATCTCCACGCCTTCAAAAACAGACAGAGAGGTTCTCAGGCGAAATGCAGGAATTTTTATTTAATTTAATTGATAAATAAGTAAAGTACATTACTGGTGCCTTGTTGAAAATATAACAATGATTACATAGTTGTTGTAACCAGGGTAACTGCGGTACAGATACCTGGGGTTTAAGCCGGGCGTCACGGTACGTGCACCACGTGAACAATGGCTGACGGCCGAGCGTGCGTCGAACCGTAGCCTTTACTATAACCAGGTACAGTCCGTTTGACTCCAAATGAGAACGATGAATTGCAAAATAACTCGAAATCCAGAAAAGTGTATGAAACATCAATACGGTACTTGACCATGAATACCCTGTACCCAACAAAATCTGAATTTTCTTTATTTTAAGACCCATGACGGATGAAGTTCGCTTCGAGTGCAGCGTCAAACGCGGGCCTGTAATCTAACACGCGGGGACTGACCAATGAAATCTGAGAAGTAGAAATACCGGTAGACGCTGTTGCTTGATTGACAATGTCAATCAAGAAAGGGAGGAGCTTAACGCTATCGTTCTCTCCCAGTAAATTCCGATGTCAAATAACGACGTTATTTGGACGGAAAAACGATGGTTTGAAAACGTCCAAATAACGTCGTTTTTCCGTCCAATGACCATATACGGAAAAAAACGACGTTTTCGTGTTTGCAGTGTTTGCATCCAAGAATACAGTGGCCATAACTTTCTTCACCTGATCATGAAGGCTTGAAGTTCTTTGGTGCCGAAAAAGTGGAATGGTGCCAGTCTTAAACATAGCTGCCGAACATTCAACAGTGGAATAGCTAGGACACTTATCCTTATACGCTTGTGACATGCGGTCACGAATGTTCCGGGGAGTATTGGTTTCTAAAGTCAAAAACTTAATGACTGTTAGGTACTCGTTCGTTTCCTTGTTTGTGTCCATTTGGACCCCTATCACG